AGAGAGAGAGAGAGAAACCCAGAATTAAATGCAAAAGCATACACATATAGAGAAAGAAACCCAAAATTAAAATGATGCAGTAGTTCATAAAAAAACTAAATAAATAAAATGCACAAGAGGTGCACATTCAGGCATACACAGAGAAACCCAAAATTTAAATCATTAAACGTATATGAATCCATAACCAGACAGACAAAAAAAAAACCAAAATTAAAATGCATGGCATTCAATAACGAGACAAGGAGAGAGATGAATCCAAATTTAGTATATATATATTTCCAGGATCAGATATAGAGAGAACCCAATGAAGCCAAATTGAGAAACATAGGCAATACAATCTACAAGAACGAGAAGAAATGAACTTACAGGACATCTAAAGACATGAATGCCATCGATGGTGCAAGGAGGAACTTCCTGCTGGTTTCCTGAGATCTTCCATGAATGGAAATTCCTGTAAATGCCTCTCTTTCGAAGGAGATTTTGCACTCCTCTGGCCATGGCCATTTGCAATGGAACCTTAAAACCAAATAACTGGTTTTGAGAGATTCTAAAATCTATGCATATAGTGTCTCAGAGTAAAAACCCATATAAAAAAATACTGATTTTATCGAGAGAGAGAATTAGCAGAATGTTGTGGCCATAGGGGCCATGACTACCACGAAAAAGGAATTGAGTGGGTGATGTTGATTTATGCGCGTACAATTACCTCTCTCTCTCTTCCTAAGCAAACTCTCTCTCTCTCTCTAAGCGCTACTCTCTCTTTCTCTCTCTAAGCACATCCATTCTTACGGGCCTGATCTCTTTATCAGCAATTGGCGCATGATCTCTTCTTCCTCTACAACTTCTTATTGGCAGGACATGATCTCTCTCTCTAGAACTTCTTATTTGCAGGACATGATATCTCTCTCAAATTTCGAGAGATTTTATTGCAATTCTGTAATGTTTTCCTCCACAAATTTTCGATAGATCGCTCTCCATTTGCACGTGTGTTACAATAAGTTCTTCTTTTTTTTTAAGGATGAAGTTTCTATAAAGCCTGGATCCACGAAAACCAAATAAACTTTAGGCCACGGAAATATCCTCTCTAAAATCAATTTAACGACAATAAAATTTGAAATTTAAAAAATCATACAGATCTTATGGATTTTGAGCAGTTATTTTTAGGGCAAAATAGAGGGTTAAAATATACACTAGTTTTTTTAGAGTGGCAAAAGTTTAGATGAGGTTGCAATCTTAAAATGTATAAGTAAAGATGCACCTCATAATCTATTTGTTTTAATGTTGGAAAACCCTCTACTTGATCATCTCGACATCGAAATACATGAATACAAAAGAAAAAAAAAATTTTAGTCTCATAAAATAGTGCATCTTGCTACACATTTTCTAGACCATCCATTTTCAAGATTTTAGTATATTTATAGATCTACTTGATTTTAACCATTTTTGGAGTTTAAACTTTTACTGTTAGAGATGAAAATAGATTTTAATATAATCCTAAGAATTTTTTTTACACCAAAATTACATGTAATGATAAAATTTGGAGGCGCCCCTTAATTGGATTGTTCAAGGTTGCAACTATATAAAAACCACACCCAATTAGAGTTTGAAATCCTAATTTTTTTCACAACTACAATGATCAAGTCGATATTATCGATGTTATATAAGTGCGAGGCTCTAAACAATCATAGAGTGTATATCAAAAATTTCACTAGAAGAGGTTGTTTTGATGCCCAAATATCCTCAAATTGATCATATCGGCCTCAAGATGCATGGATATAAGAAAAAAAATGGATTTCAAGTGTTGGAAATAGTGCATCTTGTAACGTGTGCTTTACTTCAATAATGAAACCACATTTCTCGATATTCTATTTGAATGTGAACTTTATATTAATTGTTTAGAGCCTTGGCCTTATAAAAACAGCACCCTTATTTATTTTGAAATCTTTAAACTTTTATTTAAGATGCACTATTTCCAAAATTGAAATCCATTTTTCTCATGTCCATGCATCTTGATGTCGAGATGATCAATTTGATGATATTTGGGCATCAAAACAAGCTCTTCTAGTGAAAATTTTGATGTAGGCTATAATTTGATTGTTTAGAGCCTAAGCTCTATATAAACTTTTCCCTTTCAAAACATGAGAAATTTAATTACTGATGATGCAAGTTTTTATAAATCCTAAGATTTATAAAAACAAAATAAAGCCTCACCTAAAATCCTTGTTCATTAAACATTTTTTACAACAAAAATCTCTATGATCGCTCTAAAATCAATTTCCGACACCAACAATGAAATATGAAACTCCGAAAAAATGGTACAGATCTTGCATAACTATGATTACTTCTTTTTAGTGCGAAATGGATGATCTAGATAATTTGTTACAATTTACACTAATTTTAGAACTTAAATTTTTATTTTTTTTTACAACCATAATGTTCAAGCCGAGATGATTGGTATAAAGGTTTTTCAACACTAGAATTGCAAATTTTGATGAGTTATGAGGTGAGGCTTTACTTATTTTGACAGTGTTGCAACCCTATCAAACAATTTCCTTTTAAGGATTCCTAAAATCAATGCTTTAAAAAACGGATCGGTGACCCGGATCGGGCTTCCAAAAAACCGATCCGGATCGGCGAATCGGCGATCCGGATCGAAAATCGAGTAAATCGGTCAGAATAAAGCTTAAAAAAAATTCGAAAAAATTATTAAAATTCATTATAAATATTGTTTTTTAGGAATTCAATAAAAAATGAGGGTACTCCATTAAGAATTTTCATGTTTTGGAATGAATATACGAATATTGATATGTTCTTTCCCTGCATGAACCGCCATTCAGCATTTAATTTACAGTATTTCGTGTTCATCCCTACACTGTTGCTGTTGGGACTCGATATGTGAATAATATGGCTGGGATAGGGTGGCCTCAGAATCATCATCTCTCTTATTTTCTCTTTGAATAATATGGAATTAAAAAAAAAAAAACAAATTTTCAAAAAAAT